ATCAATATCTATCAGTTAATTTTCGGACATCATAAAATGTTGTCTATGATAAATGTGATAGTATAATGTGCCTATTATATTCACAATAAAAGTACAATTATATTGTCATGGCATTTTATTGTGCTTCTATATATAATATAATCTTTTAAGGAACATTGTTGATGCGGACAATATTGTTAAACTCTGGAGCTTTAATTTTTAGATAAAAAATAGCTGCTGTTTTATAGGTACATAGGTATAATATAGTTGCAGACATTTACTTATATAGTTTTTATTTTAGATTCTGAGTGAAACGATGAATGTATTGATTTTACAATGATGTGTGTTTTTATATTTATTTTTTTTGTGTCTGTGTACACGATAAGTAGTCGAAATAATGCTTCGATTTTCGACTTCAGTATCTTGTTCGATTGGAAAGTGAATATCGTTGGTGCATTGGGGAGGTCAAAATTTAAATTTCACAGTAGTTTTCACAAGCGCCGGGAAAAAACAACATAAAAATTAAGGAAAAACGGGAATTTTTACGCAAAATCGGTTTTCCAAAAAATCGATTCTGGTTTTTGGTGTAACTTTAAAACAAATGACCGTAGATACATGAAATTTTCACTGGTTGTTTATATTTGCATCTTCTATACACGATAACATTTTCAAAATATTTTGATTTATTTTGAACAGTTTAGGGACATTTTCATTTTTCGTTTTTTTTTAGTTTTTTTTCTAGAAATATCAATAAAATTTTATTTGTTGGTTGCGAAAGCTTGAAAATTTAATAGAAGGCTCCTAATATATTGTTTCAAAGGCAGATGAAAAATATTAAAAATCCTTAGTCACAATTTTTTTTTTATAAGCATTTAAAGTTCAAAAATTGACAAAATATGGAAAAATCACGAAAATTAGCAAATTATTTTGAGTTAAGAATTCGTAAAAATTTTTCTTTTTAAATCTAAGATTTGAAAATCTAATACAAGATTACTCATAAGATTGTCTACCTTTATCAATAAAAAAATCTCTACCGGAAAGTCAAATTAAATTTTTATGAGCGTTTGAAATTCAAATTTTTACAACATTGGATATTCACTCGATTTCTCATGTGCCAATTTCCTTTTTTTGTTGTAATTAAAAAACGAATTACTGTAGATACATGAAAATTTCACTGAATATTTATATTAGCATTTCCTATACACCATACAATTTTGAAAATATTTTGACTCTTTTTGAGCCGTTTACGGACATTTTCAGTTTTCAATTTTTTTTAGTTTTTTTTTTCTATAAATATCAATTAAGTTTTATCTGTTGGGCCAAAAAATGTAAAAATTTAATACAAGGCTCCTGATATATTGTTACAATATCAGTTGAAAAATATTAAAAATACATAGGCACAATTTTTTTTTATAAGCGTTTTAACATCGAATTTTGACAGAATTTTTCAAAATCTCGAAAATTATTAATCATCGTAATTAATAAATTATAAAATGTTCAGTTTTTATAGCTAAGGATTGAAAATTTAAAACAAGATTCTACGTAAGTAGTTAATTCTCTTACCGAAAAATCTAAAAAATATACAATCACAGTTTATTTTTATAGTAATTTTATGTTCAAATTTGGACGACATTTCATATTAAAAAACCTAGTTATTTTGTTGTGATTATATAATATTATTCGTGTGTACGGGGTACCTACTTGAAACTTCTAAAGTGTACTATTATATATCTATGATAGTATCAGGGTTTGTTATTGATGTTGATGTATAACATGTTATAAGTACCTAATGGATATTGTGATAATGTGATATGATTAATTTGGAATTTATTATAAGTCAATTTTTTTTTTAATACCATAGATATGTATATAATTTGTCTTAAACCTAGACTGACATACCGTCTTCGCTCAGAATCGTTTTTCTTATACAATGATATTGTATCATTGAATTCAAATTTAAAAGCATCCATTATACAGTGACCCACTTGTAACCTACTGTACAGCAGAGCGACATCCACTTACCCACCTTTTTTTATTTGTGTCTGTGTACACGAATGTTTATTACATCTAAAAGTTTACAGTCTTCAACTTCTATGTGAACATTTTTAAAAGTTGGTTTATTGTATGAAACAAAGACAACATATGTAACAAATTTAAACATTGCCTTTTAACTCTTAAGTTACAAACTCATAAACCAACTTTACATCATAATGTATTGTTGGGACTTGAGAGCCATGGCTCTGCAAATGCATATTATATTATACTTTATCATAATTATTAATTATATTATATTATATTCACAATATTAGGTATACATAAACCACTCTTAATAGTTGTGAGTCCTTTTACAATACACAAAATATGATCTAAGTATTAAATAAAGAGTAAAGAGCACATTCACATCACTCAGCCATATAGGTACACAGTTCACACTTTTGTACACTTTATAATTACTGAAAATACACTATTATTTCATTCACTGTAGGAATTTTCTTCAACTTTATTTCAAACCATTATCTTTTAGATCGCTGACGGTCCGAATACAACAATATTTTAAAACTCATATAAAAAATGTTTTTATTCTCAAAATAATGCCATAAATATTTTTCAGCAATATACAATTATGAAATAATAAATCAACAAAAATAAAATATGTTTTAGTTTATTTCTAACTGTGTATTCAATTTATTATTTCTAATCATCTATTACCGAACACGTATAAAAGAAAAAAAACTATTTTTTATAATTTCATTGAAATATTTCAATTGAAAAATACATATAACATAATACACGTTTCTAATAGTGTGGAGATATAATTAATAAGGCAATTAATATAAAATGACATGAAGAGGTAATTTCAAAGAGCGTAGTGAACACAGTATTAAACTATAAAAGTGTTGTCATACGTCTCTTCTTTTTTATTTTTTTTTTATTTCTAATTTATTCTTAATAGTAATTTGCTTCCAAACATTTGGTTTTTTGTTGTTTTCATTTGATTATAAAAAATGATTAAATAGTGCTATTAAAAAAAAAGCACGCTGTAGCACAGATAAAGTTCTTCTTTACGTGTTGTGAAAAGTTGGTAGTTCTACAACAAATATGGTGCGAGAAAAGTTGTCCCGCTCAAAACAGTTTTTGCTATGTTGTACATTTGTAAGACGGAGACCACATATGCTGGTGTGCGTTTTCTTAAGACTTACACGCTACTATTAACTACGAATATACAGGTTTTATAAAGAATTTAGTGTTGTAAAAAAAATGTTCAATTTGAAATTACTTATTACTTATTACTATATTTACATTAGAAAATTACATTACTTTACTGATAATTAAATAAAATTGAAATATTTATATAGCTATAAATCATTACAGCCATTTGGCATATATAAGAAACAGTTTATTTTTATAATTTTATAAGTCCTTATTGTATTATTATGTCCTTATGTGTTATATATGAAGTAGAATTTTATTTTCACATACATAAGGTTAATGTTGTGAGTTTGGGCCTTAAATACATAATATTATATTTAACTATATAATAGTTAATTACTATTGATAAGTAGGTACAATTTTATTAATTAGTAGGTACCTACTATTTTTGAATAGTCATTAGGCATTACCTACGATTGTTATGTAAATATGTATTAACTGAACATCTTTTTTTTTTGTACATCTTTTTCAAATTCTACCTTTTTAGTATGGGTAATGTTTTTCTAGTTAGTAGTTACATAATTGCCTGCTCCCTGCAGAAAGATAATTGCCAAGAAATTAAATAATTTTTTTTTTTGTAATGAGGAATTAGTGAAAATTCTATTTGAAAATTAAAGTAATTTCATTACAATTTTATTTGAGTATTGAGTAAAGTAACTTAATTACATTTATCTCTTAAGTAACGAGTAAAGAAACTTAATTAATTTTTAAAAGTAACTGACCCAACATTGAATGATTTTAGTATAAATAACAATAATTATATTAAAATAAAATAAGAATAAAAAAATATAATCACAGCAAAGGTAACTTGGTAAAAAAGGCATTGAATATAATATTATGGAAAAATATTTATTAATATACATACAATGACACGGAAACATCTATCCAGGTCAACAGTGTACAGACGACACAAGATGGGTAAAAATATAAAAACTAATAATTGAACAGTGAATAATGATAACAACATCGGATTATATAATAGTACCTATAAGGTGTCAATTTAAACAGTAGAATGTGGTTTAACAGAGTAGTCACTGACAGAAGTTGGTCGATTTAAAATCTGATCTTAAAATAATTACAGTTCACTTTAAGAGGACGCTACACAGATTTTTGTTGTCTCCGTCTTACAAGTGTGGAACATGGCCAATTTACGCTCAGCAGATCAAGTTTAACTCCGTTAGTTAAAAATTAGTGTGAATTAAGAAACTATTAAGAAACTTGATGGTAAGAACATTATCTGTGTTTGTATGTGGTTTTTTTAAGTGAGTTATGAACATTTTTAATTTACGCTATATTATGTACACATAACTTGCTAACATGTTACGCACTTGTAAGACAGAGAAAACAAACGAATAAGTTTATAATTATATTATAAAAAACTATTGATAACTATTGATTTTTTATTTTTATTTGTAATTTGTTTAAGGTTTTAATAATTCTAATAAATTGACTTGAAATAAATAAATATTTATATTATAATAAAATGTTTGACTTAATACTAACATATATTCTTTTTGTAATTTGTACTAAAAATAATGTAAATAAAATAATAGTTTTAAATACATTAATTAAACACTTATTGTTAGTTCATAAAATATCTAGTTAGTATATAGAATAACTAGTTGAAGTATGTCTTTATGGATTCATTCAATACATCAACAGAAAGTACCCGTAATAATAATTGTTATATTACAAACAGTAATTGTGTTAAAAAAAATAAACAAAATAAATGTATACAGGAAAAACTGATTTTAAACAATGCCTTTAGTAGTATAACATGTTACACTAATAACTAATGTTGTTACTTATTTTTACCAAGCTCTTTCACTTTGTTCTGTAATTTGAACATTACAAAGGGCACCCAAACAAAATCGATTACTCCCAGATGGATCAACATAACCATCAACAGTGACATGAGGGCAAAAAGATGAAACCTTAAACATGTCTCCAACCTGAGTATCTAATTCAAAGTAAGCAATCAAACACCAATGTTCAGAAGCTGGCTGAGATGATAATAAGCCACTCGATCCCATTTCAGACACTCCCCCTAGAAAAACAATATAATTACATTCAAGAGATATTTAAATATAAAATAAATATAACTATAAAAGGGTAGATATTCAATATACTCACAAAATACTGGATGAGGTGGTTGCATTGAATGTGTATAAGTGTGTTTTTTACTGGTCGATTATCTGTTGTACCAGACATCTAGGCAGTAGGTCCTTGAAAATCATAAGGTGTTATTGTTTGACTAGGTACTGTATGTGAAATAAAAATATTATTCAGTTTATTGCAAATAATTTTATTAAAGAATAGTATAATTACATATATTGTCTTCCTTCTGTCCTTGGATAATACCGGGATTTTGTAATGACATGTTTGGTGGTCCTATAGCAAAAAAGGTTATAAATTAGTACTTATTTATAAGATAAGCAAAAATTATTAATTTATTTATTCACCCTTTACTAGGCACAGAAGTGTAAGACACCACTAATATATGTAATTTAATTGTAATATATTTTCTATATAATTTAGATATACATATTCAAAATGTTTATGTTATACTTTTAAACTATGTTTTAATTATATTTAGTATTTACCGTTAACTACCATAACAAACAAACTAAATAATAATACAACACATTCAACAGGATAAATAATGTAAGCAAATTAGAAAATATGAATTAAAAACCTTCATAATTTAATAAAACACCATTTTTAGTTACTAGAGTATTACAAAAAGTCAACAAGAAAAATACACGGTACGTACAACATGAAGTTGGCAGCGGCGCAAGACGAACGAAGGAAGAGAGACTGACGTCAACAGGCAGGGCCTGGTCGTATTTAGTGGAGGTGGAATAACGAGAGGGTCACTGTGCTGCCAGCTTTTACTTAAAATGTTTTATATTGATTAAAAAAATAGTAAACTATTTCACTTAGATATGATTTATAGTATTTATACTGAATTATACTCTCAGGAAGTAACAATTATAATTTTTATAATACTGTTAATTGTCATTATAATAATAAATTGTTAAAAAAAAAATGCAATATTTTTGTTTTAAAATGAATTTAGTTTTTACAGAATTGATGGTTACGTGATTTGGATACTATTTACTATTTTTGCAAAGTAGTGTAACCCACAGATATCCTTTAATGTTGTATGATGTAACCACCAATGATTTTTATATTAGACGGCCACAGATATAGTCTAACATAACAACAATTGACACAAAAAGATTAATTTGGAACAAAGTTATTATTATTTTAGTGTGCCGTGTAAAATTTGGTTTTTGAGGGTTACCTCAGTTGGCCTTTCCACCGACAAATTATTATATTTACCTTAACAAATTATTAAAATATATATATTTTGAATATTATAAATAAATAGTAACAGATGAAAACAGAAATAAAAAAAAAAAATAACAGAAGTAATTAAATAAAGGAAAATTGTACTAGTATTGAGTAGTATACAATTTATCATTGTGAGCATCAATAATTGTTGAATTATTTTTAAGAATATAGCCAAAGGTTTTGGCTTCACTATTGAATTGATTTTTAAAATCTGAATTAAGTGATGACACTTTTATAATATAAGCAGTTACATAATTGAAAATTACATCAATAAATATTTGATAGTCAATTCAAGAGAATGTAAATGATAGATTGACAATTTTAAAATATGGCCGAAATTGTACCTTAATACAAAGAATAATAAATAAATAATTAGCTATCCTTCATAAATTAATTTTCATATTTAATCTGTATTATTATCTTATAATATTATATCATATTATTTAAGGATATTTCAGAACCCAAGTTAATATACTACCTATTTGTTAAGCAACTTACTGTTGGGAGGTGTATGTGATATGTGTTATTGTAACAATATATCAGGAGCCTTGTATTAAATTTTTACACTTTTTGGCCCAACAGATAAAACTTTATTGCTATTTATAGAATAAAAAATTGGAAACTGAAAATGTCTATAAACAGCTCAAAATAAGTCAAAATATTTTCAAAATTGTATGGTGTATAGGAAATGCTAATATAAACATTCAGTGAAATTTTCATGTATCTACAGTTATTCGTTTTTAATTACAACAAAATAAAGAAATCGCTACATGAGAAATCGAGTGAATATCCAATGTTGTAAAAATTTGAATTTAAAACGCTCATAAAAATTTAATTTGACTTTCTTATAGAAATTTTTTTTCTGATAAAGGTAGACAAACTTATGAGGAATCTTGTATTACATTTTAAAACCTTAGATTTAAAAAGAAAAATTTTTACGAATTTTGTCAATTTATGAACTTTAAATGCTTATAAAAATAAAACTGTGACTAAGGATTTTTAATATTTTTCATCTGCCTTTGAAACATTATATTAGCAGCCTTCTATTCAATTTTGAAGCTTTTGTACCCAACAAATAAAATTTGATTGATATTTATAGAAAAAAAACAGAAGCTGAAAATGTCCGCAAAGAGCTCAAAATTAGTCAAAATATTTTGAAAATGTTATGGTGTATAGAAAATGCTAATATAAACATTCAGTCAAAATTGTAACCAAAACCAAAAACCGATTTTCCTATCAGAAAAGATACCATGGAAAAAAATATAAGTACATTTACTGTCCTAAAAGGTGATGACAGACACAACAAAATATAAAAATAAAAATAAAATAAAAAACACACATCATTGTAAAATCAATACATTCATCGTTTCACTCAGAATCTAAAACTATGTGTATATATTTTAAGAGTCCAGACCATTGACCAACGCGGACGGTTGATCAGTTGATGTCTCCCTAGGCCAGGCGAACAGGTATGTACATTATAGTTCTATCAAGTACCTATTCAAGCCGAACACCGAAGTTGTTTGCGCCGATGATCAACACCCGAACAGAACAGTCTAGACCAGGGGACTCCAAACTTTTTTATTCAAGGGCCACAAAAAAAATCAAATGCTCTTAGCGGGCCAAAAGTTTATTAACACATATAATTTTTAATTTTATGATAATATAGGTACTTATATAAATAATATGTTTACTTTATATTTTTGTATAAAATATTGTTTACTTTACAATATACTTAAATAAAAATAAATAGGTTTAGATATAATATAATAAAAATACATTTTTGAAATATTTTTTTTATCTACATATATATTATGTAGAGGTATATAGATTAATAATTCGTCTACAGCTACAGTACCTATACGCAGAAAAACGCTAAAATAAAAATTGTTTAGACCTGATATTATAATGCCAAAAATATTTTACATTTTTGTAGAGTCTGCGTAGGTAATAACTTATTATTATAGTAAAATTACATTACAAATACAACATATAGAACTTTACCAAATAGGTAGATAATATGTGATTTATATTTATTAGATTTACCTAACGAATTCGTTACCAGATAATATATTCATTTTTTTTTTCATTTTTAAGTTGTATTTTGTATGTATTATGAATTTGTTTTCCTTTATGTTTGTGTTTTTATAAAAATATGTATATATTATAATATTAGCACTATTATTATTGGAGTATTATAAAACCGGACTCGACAAGAAGAAGAGTATGAGTTCTAATATTTACTACGATCACCATAGGTGGTCTTAAGATTTGAATTTTGAAAGGAATTTAGTCTCGTCTACATTTTAAAAATAATACAAAGAGCTAATGGCTGATGGGCCTTTCGCTGATAAATTATTTAACTAGAATAAATCTGTCTTATCAAATCTATTCTAAGTGCACCCAGTGTTGTGGTGAACTAAAAATTGTTCAGACTCAAGTTACAAGTATCCCAAGTATAAATGCATAATAATGTATTCATATAATATAACTAATTATATTTCACATCTTTATTGACTACATATTGAGAATATCATATTACATTTACTGACTACCACCCATCCCTCTATTTAAGAAAAAAAATCAAAGGCCATTGCATCTGAAATTACCGTTCACCACGCCACTAAGTGCACCTATAATTGTATAACTAATTTTAATTAATGCAATCTAAATTACGACCTGCAGCCTCATCTTAATTGGTTGACAGAACATCATTCCACACAAATTATTGTTGTGGGTTGTGGGTTCGCCGCTCGTTGCCCTTACGAATACGGCCGTGCGGTCCTCCCATCCGCGCGTGTAGGCGGCCCACAGTACCGGGTCTCGCTGTAGTTCGTCGAACTCTGGCCGCCGTGGTGACGGTTGTGCTCTCCTCGAGGGTGACCGCCCTCAGCAGCAGTTCAGCCGCTTGTTGGAGTGAGGTGGCTATTGGCGGATGTTGCCGCTCCATAGTTGGGTGTGGTGCTGTGTTGACTGAAATTAAGTACATAAAAACACTATTGAGGGTTTATGGTTTACCTATGCGGGCCACGGGCGGGTTAAAACTTGTTCGCGGGCCGTAGTTTGGAGACCCCTGGTCTAGACCATACACCACCTACAAACTAATGGACAGCGCTTGGCGAGAGAAGTCGGGGTTACGATATAGGGTGGGCGAGAACAAACTAGTAAAATGTATACCTGCAGTTCCTTGGCGGGCTTTAAGCGGGCTCTTTCACTAAATTGTATTCTCTCTCTATAAGATATAATATGATAGCGTAGCATTTTTCAGAGTGGAATGCGCTGTTCATTTGTTTAAAGGTCTGTGGACTGGACCAATGTTATCGTGAACAATAGAACGTACTTGGTTGAGGAGCTGGAGAGTGTTGTGCTTGTGTTGACCGAGGCGCTTGTGCATACTGTTGTACTTGCGACATCGAGTGAGAGAAGTTTCCATTCGACGGTTTTCGAAATCATAAACGGAATCGAATGAAAACACCAAAGAAATATCAGACAACTACACCATTGCCCAAAATGTGCGAATGTCGAATATTAACAATAGATAACAGCATTTAAATTAAAATGATAAGAACCCATGCTTCGAAACGTAAACACAGTTGTCGTACACAATAATATTATCATCTTGCTGAATAAAGTCAAGAAGTGGAGGTAGTTCTCGCGGTGTGTATAAAAAATACGTAATTTATTATCGTACCTACTGTTATATTGTTATTTATTACAAGTTTCATTCCTATCGACTATTTATTATTATTTATTAGTAACTCGTTCGGTTTTACATTTTGAGAGTTTGAGACGATCGATGAA